AGTGTCGCAGAACTTTCTTGCCAACCTAATAAATAAAGGTGTAGCGCTTGAGCTTAATTATCTCCTTTTGTGGCATTCATAGGGCCGCTCGAGAAAGATGAACTATAGTTTCGTGTTCCATGCATGTGCCTCCTATATAGCGCAAAAAGCCGCTCTCAAAAGGTGGCACCATCTGAAGTACCTTGCTTGATATATGCGTCACGCATGCATCGGCGTTTCAAAGGTGCGAAGGCATTTGAAAGTGTAATCCCTCTTGCAGTAGCCTGCTAAAGCAGATCATTTTAATTCTTGTCGTGTCATGATCGAAGCCTGTGTCTACAGACGTGATCCACCTTCATTCACGTAATATAAGCTTGAAATGCTCGCTAAATCCCCCTTTGGATTCAGTTGATGCTCGCGTTTTACAAGGTCGGTCTAGAAATAGAATGAAGCGGCGGAACTGAAATTGAATTGATATAATTGTATCACGTTCATACAACATCGTGTTTCCTCTCAGCGTTACCGTACTCCATCGATCAATAATGATATCGATTTCAAGGGAAAGCCCTGCGCTCACGACCCCCCTCCCCCGCCCTATCCTCCATGCGCGAAATACCCTTCGGCCATGTATGTAGCCAAGGCAAGAAATGTGTAGTGCTGCGATAACCTGCATTACCGGAATATGTGTACATTCGTTGTAAACAGTAGTTCCCATACGAGCACGAGTGCCATTCACGCCACCGTTTTCTCCGTACCTAGCACTAGGAAAAAATTTGCTAGAAATCACACTGAAAATTTGGGTCAATGACAGCAGGTCCACCTCTTCACAAAACCCTTTTCTTTCCTCAGTTATCCATCGAGGCCATCAGGATCAACCAGGGTCTTTTCGCACTACCTATTCGACCGAGGGTTCATGATTTTGGGAAGGAGAGTGGAATCTGGGTTTGAGCAAGGCTAACCGAATCGGAGGGGGTTGTATTTGTAGATGTCAAAGGGGCGGAGAGAGGTGGGCTATTTATTACGGTTTCTTCTGACGATTTTGCGAAAACTTCA